AAAAAAAAAAAAAGGATGAGATAAGAAGAGTGGGCCATGCAGAGAAGTGGTTTTCAGGATCCTTGGCATTTTATTGCCTTTGTAAACATATATTAGATTTTAATCATAGCTGAACTGGAAAACTGGAATATTTGGCTTGTTTTCTTTCCACAGCTGAGCTATAATCTTCCTTTAGGAGAGATATTATATCTTATACTTAATAGTACAGTCAGTGTCTACAACCAAAAAACTGCTCAATAAATAGATTTGTTCTTTGGTAACAGGATGATGTCTTTATATATTACCCAAGCCTGGAAAGTAGGTCAAATATATAATAGGGTTTCTTCTGTCTTCCCAGCTCAAGACTCATGATGTCTCAGATTTAACAGCAATTGAAAGGGAAGACTCATCATTACTAACTCCTGCAGCCAAAAAACTGAAAATAGATACCAAAGAAAAGAAAGAGAAAAAGCAAAAAGTGGATGAAGATGAGATTCAGAAGATGCAGTAAGTCATTTTCTTACCATTCCCCATTTCAGTGCTTGAACTTCACCAGACAAATTTAATAAAATTTTCTTGGCCTTTAAAATTCCTTTTTCTTGGCTCAGCGCCTGTGGCTCAAGTTGCTAAGGCGCCAGCCACATACACCTGAGCTGGTGGGTTCAAATCTAGCTTGGGCCTGCCAAACAACAGTGATGGCTGCAACCAAAAAATAGCTGGACATTGTGGTGGGCACCTATAGTCCCAGCTACTTGGAAGGCAGAGGCAGGAGAATCTCTTAAGCCCAGGATTTAGAAGTTGCTGTGAGCTGTGATGCTACAGCACTCTACCCAGGGTGACAGCTTGAGGCTGTGTCTCCAAAAAAAAACCAAAAAAACTCTTTTTTCTTTTTTAAGCTCAAAATGATTAGTGCAGTATGTTATAATATAGAAAATATAAATACGTAAAAATAAAAAATACCGGTTGCGTATAGTGGCTCACGCGTGTAATCCTAGCACTCTGGGAGGCCGAGGCAGGATGATTGCCTGAGCTCACGAGTTCAAGACCAGACTGAGCCAGAGCAAGACCTAGTCTCAAAAAATAGCCAGATGTTTTGGACGGCACCTATAGTCCCAGCTACTTCAGAGGCTGAAGCAAGAGAATCACTTGAGCCCAGGAGTTTGAGGTTGCTGTAAGCTGTGATGCCATGCACTCTACCGAGGGCAACAAAGTGAGATTCTCTCTGTCTCAAAAATAAATAAATAAATAAATAAATACCACCACCTTACCACCAAAAGATACACACTGCTAATACAAGATACTTTCTATCCATGTATTTCTACAAATAAAAAATTTTTTTTTAAAAATGACAATTACCATTTTGTTTTGGAGATAAGAGATTTGTTCTGTCACCCTGGCCAGAGTGCTAAGGCCTCATCATAGCTTACTGCAACCTCAAACTCCTGAATTCCTCAGACTCCAGAGTAGCTGGGCCTCCTGGCACACACCACCATGACTCGCTAATTTTCCTATGTTTGGTAGAGATGGTGTCTTGCTCGTACTCAAGCTAGTGTCAAAACTCGTGACCTCAACTGATCCTCCTGCTTCAGCCTCCCAGAGTGCTAAGATTGTAGGCATAAGCCACCACACTCAGCTTCAAATACTGTTTTGTAACCTGTTTTTTATATGATGTTTACTGTGTTGGTACACTTTCTTTTTTTTTTTTGAGGCAGAGCCTCAAGCTGTCCCCCTGGGTAGAGTGCCATGGCATCACAGCTCACAGCAACCTCCAACTCCTGAGCTCCAGTGAGTCTCCTGCCTCCGCCTCCCAAGTAGCTGGGACCACAGGCGCCCACCACAACGCCCGGCTATTTTTTGGTTGCAGCTGTCATTGTTGTTTGGTGGCCCAGGCTGGGGATTCGAACCCGCCACCTTAGGTGTACGTGGCTGGCGCCTTAGCCAGTTGAGCCATAGGTGCCGAGCCATGTTGGTACATTTTCAAAGGCTTTTCATACATAGAGTAGAACCCGTATAAGTTCACCACCCAAGGGACTATAACAAATTGGTCAACATAAGGAACTAGGTCTACTGTACCAATTCATACATGTAGTACATGTCTGGTCTGTAAAAATTAGGTCAACTTAAGGAGGTGGTCAATGCAGCGAAGATGGACTGTATTTCCAAATTCCTATCTAAAAAGGTGTTCCATTTCATTCACACCCTACCAGCATGTGTGAATTTGTGTTCCTGCATTTTTACTAATACTGTTCTAAGTTATCAGATTTAAGAAAAATGTTATCTTGTTTTAGAATTTCTTTCATTAACAAGGGTAATTTTTTTAGAGATAAAAAAAACTGATTGACCATTGGTATTTTTGTAAATTTCCTGTTAATGTCTTTGCTCATCTTCTAAAATTGGTATGGCTTTTTTTTTTTTGGAGACAAGAGTCTCAATCTGTCACCCTGAGTAGAGTGATGTGGCATCACAGCTCACAGCAACCTTAAGCTCTCTTGCTTCAGCCTCCCAAGTAGCTGGGACTACAGGTGCCCGCCATAACACTTGGCTATTTTTGGTAGTGTTGTTTTAGCTGGCCCGGGCTGGGTTCGAACCCACCAGCCTCAGTGTATGTGGCTGGCACCCTGCCCACTGATCTATGGGCACCACCAGATATGGCTATCTTTTTACTTATTTGAAGTAATTAATTTTAAGATTATAAGCTTTTTTCCTTTTTTTTTTTTTTTTGGCAACAGTCTCACTCTGTACCCTGGGTGTAGTGCCATGGTGTCCTACCTCACAACAACGTCAAACTCTAGGGGTCAAGCATTCCTCTTGCTTCAGACTCCGGAGTAGCTAAGACTATAGGCATGCACCACTATGCCCATCTAATTTTTTTTTTTTTGCAGTTTGGCCAGGGCCAGGTTCGAACCTGCCACCCTCGGGATATGGGGCCAGTGCCCTACTCACTGAGCCACAGGCGCCACCCACTAATTTTTTTATTTTAGTAGAGAATGGGGTCTCGCTCCTTCTCAGGCTGGTCTCCAACTGCTAAGCTCGAGCAATCCACCCATCTCAGCCTCCAGAGTGTTAAGATTATAGGCCTGAGCCACTGTGTCCAGCCTCCATGTATTTTGCAAATATTTTCCCCCTAAATCTGTTATATTGAAAACCACTGGTTTGAATATAAATTTTTTTTTTTTTTGAGACAGAGCCTCAAGCTATCCCCCTGGGTAGAGTGCTATGGCATCACAGCTCACAGCAACCTCCAACCCCTGGGCTCAAGCGAGTCTCCTGCCTCAGCCTCCCAAGTAGCTGGGACCACAGGCGCCCGCCACAACGCCTGGCTTTTTTTTGGTTGCAGCCGTCATTGTTATTTGGTGGGCCCAGGCTGTATTGGAACCCACCACCTTAGGTGTATGTGGCTGGCGCCTTAGCCACTTGAGCCACAGGCGCCGAGCCGAATATAAATTTTTATATTAAATTGTTACCATCAATGTATAATGCAATAAGATACTCTTATGGGAAAACAAGACCCCATCTTGATTATAATACAATATAATAATATTTTATTTTAAGCAGGAGATATGTTATGGGAAAGAGAGCCTAAAGCTGAAGACACAGTCTGTATGACACAGTAACTTAGCATTGTTTAAGTTTTTGTTCTCAATAAAAAAGGAGGTTGTATTTCACATTTTTTCAAGTTCCCTTAAAGTAGAAATGTTATTATCTCCATTCCTCATAAGTACCAAGCCCAATGACATTGACCTCTCATGAATTCATCCTTTAATTATCTGAGACTTGTTTTATTGACTTAATAATGTGTCATAAGTATTCATTTTTATAAGCCAATTTAATTACCTGAATCTTTGTTTAGAATCCTGGTCTCTTCTTTTTCTGAGGAGCAGCTGAACCGTTATGAAATGTATCGCCGGTCAGCTTTCCCTAAGGCAGCCATTAAAAGGGTAAGGATGAAAAAATAAAAAGGGTAAGGATGGACTACCACACTTCATTTCCATCATATATGAGAACTAAACCAAAAGTATATCTGTTGTCATTTTGAAGTGAGTACTGGGCAATTCAGTGGATTATTTAGACAGCAAAATAAAAATAATATGCCTTTCAATTATCTGACCAATTTCAGTTTTATATATTAGGGATAGTATCTCAACATATAAAGTCATTACATGCTTGTATCCTTGTTTTTAATGGTTTCAATTTCAGCATGCAACCTTTAGTAAACACTGTTTCTGTGCAGAGTTCATTTACTGGTACTCTGTTTCAAAGGTAGTCTTTGACTATCTTAATCACGGTCTTTATCCTTCTTTCAAGCTGATCCAGTCTATCACTGGCACCTCTGTGTCTCAGAATGTTGTTATTGCCATGTCTGGTATTTCCAAGGTTTTCGTCGGGGAAGTTGTAGAAGAAGGTGAGTAGTGTTGGTTACAAATACTTTATTATACCTGTAGTGGTCTTTATATTACAGAACTTAAAGCATCTGTGGAGTTTCCATTAGTGCTAGAAGTTGACCAAATAAGGAGCCTCATATTCAGGAGAGCATGACCATTATTCCTGGAAAGTTTCAATACTGTGGGACAAAGCACCATCTGGGAAATCCCCCTTCCTGATTCCTATCCTTAGCCCAGGGTAACAGAAGCAGACTTTGTATTTTCTCCGGTGGACTTTGCTCATTTCTGCTGCCAAAAGTTACAAGAAAAGCAATCACCAGCAATGACCTGCGTGGTATAGTGAGTTATCCCTTTTGGTGTGACCCTTGGGAACTGCCCTGTCTATTGAGTAAAAAACCTGGCAGCTTCCCATTACTAATCTCTAGCTGGAAAAATCTATTTATTTATTTATTTTTGCAGTTTTGGGGATTGGTTTGAACCCCCCACCTCCGGCATATGGGGCCGGCGCCTTACTCCTTTGAGCCACAGGCGCCGCCCAAAATCTTTTTATTTTTTCAAGCAGGAGATATGTTTTAAACTATGAAATGAGATATACTAAAGCTAACATGATACATTTTATAGCATTCCACTAAGGAAAAACTTCTTGCTTTCCTTAGCAGACTTAAAAAGGGTTAACAAGAATTACAAGACTCAAAAGAATTATGTGATGTTATTGTGTGATAATGAAATTTTTCTATTTGTTCTGTTTAGCCCTGGATGTGTGTGAGAAGTGGGGAGAAATGCCACCACTACAACCCAAACATATGAGGGAGGCTGTTCGAAGGTTAAAGTCAAAGGGACAAATCCCTAACTCGAAGCACAAGAAAATTATCTTCTTCTAGACCGAAGTCTAGAAATATCTATTACTGACAGAAGAAGTACATTCCAGACTTCCTATTAAATGAGACTTTCTGCACTGGTGCTTTAGTATCTCTAGTCCTCCAAGGATTTCATGATTTGAATATTTTTCTCAAAACTCTTAATATCTGTATATGCAGAAAGTATACAGCTTATTTCATACTTGTCTTGACTAATTTTGGGACCCCTTATGGTATTTTGAGGTAATTTTCTCTTGGCTAGTTGGAAGAAAGGTGCCTGGGCCTTAACCATCTTCTGGACAGGAGAGCTGCTTTCAGAGAGAGAAAACCTTTCTGAGACAGCTTTGATGGTTTCACATTGAAGCTTAAATTAAGATGCTAAGATAGGTTTTTTCCAATGTCTGGTTTTAAGTAGATGAAACCATCAGAATGTTTGACTTGGGATTCCCTATCATGAGGAACGTGATAGTAGCAGTACTAATAATTTGTGCTTATAAAGATTTAAGATTCTCTTATGGATTTTTTGAGTGATCATTAAACGGTTTTCCAATTTGCCAAATGTATATTCTTTTTCTGCCTAGCTGGTTGGAATGGTGCAAAGTTTGTTATTCTTTTTGGTATCCCATTAAAATTGGTCTTGGCTTTTTTGTGAAAATTTGAACCCTTCTCATTTTCTAGCAGAACCATTAGAATTTTTTTCATAAAAGAATACTCTACTAAAGACACAAATTATATAGAATAAAGAAATAAAAGAAAGCACTTCAAGCACTATGCAAACAATATAAAAGCCCATGTATTTCAGATTCCTATAAAAAGATATACCACAACCAATTTTGTTTAATAAGTTTAATTTGATTTTTCTCAGGTGGTTCACAGAACCAGTACACTCAAAGTTTAATTAAATACTGCAACATTAAAATTTCCCAATACTGACCAAGATTCCAGTTCATCAGATACATTCTCATTGTTTTTTCCAACTAGAGAGGAATGGAGTGACCTTTTTTTGACAGTGATTAGAAGTAATAAGGCTATTTATTGTATATAATTGACAATCTCTAAGAATTCTTTTATCTCTACCTCAGTGTCATAGGGAGAAGGGTCTTGAACCTATTCTCTTTTGAAGCTTTCCTGAGCATCTGTTAATAAAGATTCCAATTCTGTTTTAGCACCCTGAGTGGGGAAAACATCTTGGACTCAGAAAATTGGGCAAGTCTGACTTACAAACAACCTTACATTAAAACTCATAGCTTTAAACATGAACTTAGCCAGTGGAAAAGACACTTGAGGCACTCCATAAAGAAATGCTTAAAACTCAGTCTAAATCTTGACCAAAAACTAATAAACTGACAAAAAAGATATTCTCTCAGGGATTTTTTTTTTTAACAGTTAAAGGAACTGTTCTATTGCAGTTAAGAAATAGGGAATAAGGCTGAAACTTAACAAAGGAGAAAGATCAAATCCCGAGTCTGGCCACTTAGCAAAGCCTCACTGCTAAAGGTTATATATATATTTCTCGTGTGTCAGGTGGAAAGTAATCCGCATCCAATAATAGTGCTATTATCTATACTTATCCAAAGGTGAATAGGAATCTTCCTATTGTGACAGAAGATGGGGGAACAACCAGATGAAGGCCTTAGTCTCTGAAAGGACAGTGCATCACACCAAATTCTGTGGCCCTTAATGACTGATAAATTACAGTGACACAGCTTTTATAGATCTCAAATAACCAGCTATCATTCATACTAACTTGTGTAGCGCAGTTCATTGTTTCCATGTTTTCTGATTTTACTAGTTTAGGCAAGTATTAAATAAGTGAGAAGGGGGAAAAACCCTGGTATAAAGGTTTGTAATGGAAAGTTGCTATGTAAATATGGCAATACTTTAAAGTATCTTCTTTCTACCACTCTCCACACACACCCGTTAAGGGAAAACTAATGTAAATGAGTTAAATGGAAGCACTTAAGTTATATAGGGTTTGTGAAGGGTGGTGTTTATCTTTTGTATATTCCATACACAGGGACCATTCTTTTCAGAACCATGAAAAGGGGGCATAAAGGTTGAGACCCATGGTAAAATGAAAATCAGATGTAATATGTGTATATAGTAAAAACCAGCCATCATGTGTATAGAATCTGCTCCTGTTTAAGGAAACTAGGTCAATTGTTCCAGTGAGTTGAAAAAAATTTGAGATTTATACCCATCCCTGCAGCCCAGCTGAAGGGAAGATTTAAACTCTAGTCTATGACACATTAAAGCATATCCCTAGTACATCCATGTAAAAAGGAAATCTAGACAATCACAGATAATACATAATTGTAAATGCTTCACAGCTGAAATGGTAATGTGCAGTGGCTGAAGTCTTTGAGGAATAGTGGTGGTAGGTATTCCTCCAGACATTTTCTTGAGGTATTGTTATTTATTCAGAGTCTCATAGCTCCAAGGCAGAAATCATAAGTAGTCCAAATGGGCTGATACTATTCTTTGCTTCCATTATTTTCATTTACAGTTACCATGAGGCCTATTTCCAGTTCATATTTCTTCATTATGAAAAAGTCTTTCTCCCAATTAACACGTGCATGAAATTATATAAGCTGATTTTTACTAAGTCTCATGGGATAATGCCTCCTGCCATAATATATTTCAAAACACAATGGCCAAAACTGCCACATAGGAAAGTGAAATTCTAGGGCTCCATTTGTTACATGGACAAGAGTCCTAAAATCTTTCAGACAGCCCAGAAACCTGACTGAGCTCTGACCATTAAGGTGTTAGCCTTGGTACTTAGTAGATATTTCTACTGCCTCCCCCCAAGTATAAGCTTAGGTAAAAGCATGACCAAAATTGCCTATTAGACATTGTCTTCCCATGGAAGTATACCAATAGATATGGTAGGCAGGGGGAAAAGGGATGAGAAGAGAATCAGAATGTGATTTTAAACCAATTCAGGGAAGCCTAACGTGGAATAACTCAACTTTTCAGCTACTAAATCACTGTCACCTCCAAGAACATTAGAGGTACCATATTTCAGCTCAACATTCAGCCTTTAAAAAAAGTACTAAGTAGTAGTTTGTGAAGGGATGCAGTTAACCCTCTCAGTTATATATAGCCAAGTAGCCTTACTTTTCTGTAATTCCTTTGGGGAGGCCATCATACAAAGATTCTGCTAGCACCTCTTGGACAATGAGCTCCTTACATTTCTGATTTTTACCTAAGGCTATGAAATTGAGCCCCAGAGCCAGTGTTTCAGTACCAGGTCTTTGTTCTTGACTGGATATTTGATCAAACACTCCCATCAGTTCTCCTCGTTGCAGATTATCATCTACATTTTAAGGATGTAACCTCATATGGAAGTACCTCCACCCCACGATAATTTTCACTATTCTCTGGACCTTTCCTCCTTTCACCAAATATTTTGTAAATAAAATCACTAGAATCACACAGATAATTTGGTTAAGACATAACCATGAGGGAGGCGCCTGTGGCCCAGTGAGTAGGGTGCCAGCCCCATATACTGCAGGTGGCAGGTTCGAACCCAGCCTTGGCCAAACTGCAACAATAAAAATAGCCGGGCATCGTGGCAGGTGCATGTAGTCCCAGCTACTCAGGAGGCTGAGGCAAGAGAATCAACTAAGCCCAAGAGCTAGAGGTTGCTGTGAGCTGTGACACTACAGCACTCTACAGAGGGCAATGAGACTCTGTCTCTTTTAAAAAAAAGGAGGCAAAATCATGATTTTGTATGAAGTGCTGTACTTTATGTTGTCTCCAAAAGCTCTTACTCACGTCAGAGGGCAGTTAGGCTTTTGGCCACAGCAAGACATTGATCCCTCCTCCCTTTCAGCAATACTTTAATCTCTTTCCTGAGTTCCAACAGAGCTCACTGCTTTATCAGCTGATAATTCTTCCATAAATACATTACCTTATTATTACTATGCTGAATTTCACCTGTCACTTTTCTGAGAATTCACAGCCCTGCTTATTTAAGTGACCCTTCTATGGTTTTTTGTTTATTTCATCTTCTGATATACCTTTCACTGCCTGGAAATAGTGACATTAATTTCATTGTAAAATCCTACTTTCAGGTCATGTATACAAAAATTTAAAGGTTGAACAAAGATCAACCCTTAGGTAATCTCTCCTGTTAACATTCTGTCCGAAAAAAAGTTTCTTTATTCCTAAGTCTCTGTTTCATAAGCATGGCAAGTTCCCACAATCCCACATTAACTGGTGTTTTTAAAATTCTGGAAAAAACTAGATGATGTCCCTTTATACATACATGTTTCTTTTTATCCTCATAAAAAATCCTCCATCTTGAGAGGCTGAGGCAGGAGGATAACTTGAGCCCAGGAGTTCAAGGCCGCAGTGAGCTATGACTACCACTGCACTTCATCCTTGGCAACAGAGTGAGATCCCATCTCTTAAAAACACACACACTAGGCTCAGCACCCATAGCACAGTGGTTACGGCACCAGCCACATGCACCAATGGCGGTGGGTTTGAACTCAGCCCAGGTCAGCTAAACAGCAATGACAACTACAACCAAAAAACAGCCGGGCGTTATGGCTGGCGCCAGTAGTCGTAGCTACTTGGGAGGCTGAGGCAAGAGAATCACTTAAGCCCAAGAGTTGGAGGCTGCTGTGAGCTGTGATGTCACAGCACTCTACTGAGGGTGACATAGTCTCTGTCTCAAACACACACATACTAGACTATGCAAGTCAAGCATGATTTCCCATAAAGGAAACCTTTTTACTTTTCCTTCAATAGGTCACTTGTGATCAAGACTTTAGTTTCACTAAATCATTATTTTACCATCTTGCCAAGTAAAGGTGAGTTAGCTGATGAACTTCTGTCCAATCAACACAGCTTGAAGTGCATCACAGGGCAGTATGAATACAGGTAGAGTGTTGGAGAAAAATTAGGGAAAAAAGGGAATAGCTGTTACAGGGCAGGGCAAAACCTAGTTGGGTTCAAGGGTTTTGAGTTTTTTTTTTTACCGAAGTCTAAAGTACATGATTTTAAAAAGACAGTGATAAAGGGGAGAGGCAACAGGTTGAGATGTTTATATTAAAGTTTAAAATATTTTCAGCTTGTAAACCATGCAGTGCTGAAGAGAGCACTGGTAGAAAGTCAGGGCTAGAAAAGCAGATGGGACCTCTCAGGTGCACCTGTGGTGGACAGGACTCAGAAGCAAACTCCTCTATTGATTTCTACCATATGCTTTCAGCCTCAGAGTGAATAATTTTTCGTAATTTCAAATAAATTATGGAGGGGAGAGATGATATGGCTGAGTCACTATTGTGTTTACTTCCTACCACAGCATCACAGTGATGAAAGCATAACAGAAAGGAAGCATAACCCTAAAAAATCTGATTATAATATCAGCCAGGATGATACGAGCTTGTTTCCCTTTCCAAAAAAGGCACAATCCAGGTCTCCCTTATTCTTGTGCCTCTCCTGACCTCCCAACCCGCCTCTGCTGGGCTATTTCCTGATCCATTCCACTATCAACGCCAAAGTTCAGATCAAGGACTTTTTAGGTCTACTATAGGAAGCTCTG